GAGAGTGACCCCAGCCAATTGCCCTCAATTTCCAAGGTGCTACTAGAAAATAGCTGCTGTAAGACTGAAAAAGAGAGAAAAAAAAATGAAAAAGACCCAGATTCCTTAAGCGAACCAGGCAGTGGCAGTTAGGCTTCTCCACATGGAAACCCCTAGTTTCACTGGCCATGGCCAGAAACCTGCAGTTGCAGGCCAGGCGCGGTGGCTCACACCTGTCATCCCAGCACTTTGGGAGGCTGAGGCGGGCGGATCACCAGGTCAGCAGTTCGAGACTGTCCTGACCAACATGGTGAAACCCCATCTCTACTAAAAATACAAAAATTAGCCGGGCGTGATGGCATGCACCTGTAGTCCCAGCTACTCAGGATGCTGAGGCAGGAGAATCGCTTGAATCCGGGAGGCAGAAGTTGCAGTGAGCCGAGATTGTGCCACAGCACTCCAGCCTGGTGACAGGGCGAGACTTCGTCTCAAAAAAAAAAAAAAAACCTACAGTTGCTTCCATGTTTAGGCGCTGCCCACCAAGGGTCCCAAGTTGGAAATGAAGGAGGAGAGAGAGAGAGAGAGAGAGAAAGAAAGAAAGTGTGAGAGCGCCCCTGTAATTGAGCAGAAAGGAAAGGGAGAAAAATGAATCCCAAACTTTCGGGCTTACCTCTTTCCCCTGGCTGGCTCGCCAGAATATGTTAATGATGGAGGGTGTCCAGGTTCTTGGCATCTTGAACAAACAACTGGACAAAATGCACAAACAAAGCAAGAAAAGAATGAAGGATTTCATTGAAAATGAAAGTACACTCAACAGCAAGCAATCATGAGCATAGGGGCTCGAAGGCCGTGTTACAGAGTTTTTGTGAGTTTAAATACCCTCCTCTTGGGGTATGCCCTATGTAAATGAAGAGGGTGAAGTAAAGTTACAATTACAAAGTTATTAATGGTGGGCGTACACCTATGGAGAGGATATTTCCCATTATAACTGAAGTGTGAATTGGCCTTATGTTCCCTGCCTCCAGACGCTATTTTCCTGCCTCATGTGAAAGCAGAGGGTTTTTTTTGTTTGTTTGTTTGTTTTTGTTGTTGTTGTTGAGACGGAGTCTTGCTCTGTCGCCCAGGCTGGAGTGCTGTGGCTGGATCTCAGCTCACTGCAAGCTCTGCCTCCCGGGTTTACGCCATTCTCCTGCCTCAGCCTCCCAAGTAGCTGGGACTACAGGCGCCCGCCACCTCGCCCGGCTAGTTTTTTGTATTTTTTAG